AGCTCCACTTACCTGCGCTTCGTAAACAATTCGCACGGTAGCGACAACCGATTAGAACTCTCACAACGGCCGGAAGAAACTCTCCGGCGCACCGAAATCGTCCGGCGAATGTGCGAATATGCTCTTACCAGTCGGAGTTCCTACGGCCCGACTAAACTTCCCAACTCGAGCCGACCCGACTCGCGAAACTCCCGATGGCGACGCGTGTGCTCCGCCGGATTGAAGCTGGAACTGAAGCCGCGCCGACCGCATTAGCGATATAAACTCCCGATAGAAAAAAAATTAGTATATGGCCTCCAGGACTGGGCAAAAGTGAGGTGATTAAAGCGGATGGATTTCAAAGGATTACGAGGAGTAAGTTGCTGTTTGTCCACCGAAGGGTTTCCTTTAAGACTTAATTGCTAAGGTCCCGGTAAGGTTTCTCTATTATCAAATAGTTTTATCATTTAAAATTACAGAAAAAAATTGTCACTAAAAGAATCTCTCTAATGTTACGTTTACAATTTGTACATTTTGAAATGGTTTTATGATTACCATATGAACAATAATATTATAGACTTTCTCGTATGCAAGCGATAAAAGAAAACTTGTTGTGTAACGAAAAGAGCGTCAAGAACATCCATCTGGCGACGATTTAAGGCGATTTAGAATTTATAATTTATTTTTTTTAAATCGTTACCGTCGTCGCTAGTTGATTTAAAGAAGAATTTTTCTTTTCGCTAAAGAAATATAACTTCCAATCCGTTAGAGTTGAATCGGCCCGGAGGAAATGCGAGAAAATCTGGTCCCGATTATTTACTTTTATTGCTTTTTAAGGTATAAATCGTTCCTGTTTACCGAATTTACTCGTCTAAGGAATTCGTTAATGCTACTTCGCGTAAATCTTCGCTAAAAAAAAACGAAAAAAAGGAAATAAATATAAATTTTAGGGGATCTATTTCACCATCTCCTTGAGAGAATTTAAATGGCGCGCCGTTTACTTAAAACCTTCCTTTCTCACCCGAAGGGAACGTGAAAATGATTTTCAAGGGTAATCCAAAGGACATATTAAGAACATTTCAAACATTATATTTCCGAGGACATAAAAAAACCCTTCTTTTAGACCGAATATGAAAGTTTCCTCAACTTATAGATAGAGGATTCGAATATAGTATAAACATAAGAAAAGATAGTAAAGGCTCCATTCTGGCTTGATACACAGCATAAATCATGAAAAGATGAAAGAAAACCTCAAGGTAACGCTACGTTCGGTGACTGAGGTTTTCCAGATATTACAATCGTTCATGTTTATGGCTCCCGGAAGATTCCGGGATAGTGGAGCTATTTATCCGAAGATAACGCTATACGTTCATATTGTATTTATAAACAACCGCTTCTATAAACATTTTTTTACTACTTACCCGACATGAATGTGGAGTGATTTGCTTTTAATAGTTCATAAAAATACAGATATGAGATTTTTTTGGAAGAAAAAAATTTTAAAAGAATTATTACACAATCGTCTTTGTTCTCAAAATTAACCCGCCCGATTGCTCAATACCTGCGAGTGTACACCAACAAAACAATCTCGAATCGTAAAACATTTAATTAAATCCCTGTATTTGGGAAATAACCCTGATCTAATTACCAATAACTATTGTCTGGTAAACGCCCGTTTCCCACAGAAGTTTTGATTCAATGCGCGTCGACCGCCATTAGCGCTGAGAAACAGAACGAGAACCGAGCGAGTCGCATTTTAATTGCCGGGAGATTTACATCAATTCTCATATCTCGGCACGTCACAAATTGAAATAGCGATTGATCCGAGGAAATAGGTGCGGTATTAAAAGCAACGAGATCGGGCGATGAGACGCGCGGCATATTCGCCCGGCTCGAGGAGGGTTTAAGTAATTTCATCCGAGTCTTGCTGCATTAAGTAATTCGATGTAATATCTCACGCTCTCGAGCATAATCGTACGTGTAAACAACTGGAAATTATATCTCGGCGTAGACGTGAATTTCCAATTGGAATTTCTACGTAAAATATTTCACCAAAAAAATGTTTGTAATCGTGAAGTTAATAGGAATAATTTGAATTTAAATCGAATGTTTTGTGGGATACAGTTCAAAGGGAACATGCTAGGTACAGGTAGCCACAAATAAACGCACTAATTCTTGTTAATTAACAAGAGAGAGATTATCCTTTGGTGCATACCGTGCCTATTCGGACGGTTAGACGCATTTTAATTAATTACGTTAGAGCCGTAAGAGCCGTAAGAGCCTCTATTATAGTTTGAATAGGCTAACCTAGCGTTAGGAGAAAAACAGCTAGGCGAAATAAATAGGGTTTCGTTTGCTTTCTCTATAACGCCCGAAAGTTCTTCAAAAGAATAAGTTTATAATGCGATGTATAATATTAAAGTTTTCTCATTACAACCGGAATGAACTACTTAGTTTGATCTTTGCGGACAGCATATAGAAGAGTTTTTCCATTTCCCCGTGCTATCGAAGTTTTGATGGAGAAATTTGCTTCTTTTTACACGGCTTTTCAAAAAAATGAAAAAAAACTTGCGTCTATATTTCATAATTAATTATTCACCAAAATAACCAAATTTCTATCACTTACAGTCACCCTGTATTTTCGTTACATACGCTCAATTACAGCATCACATTACGGCTTTTATCATTCCACATTCCAAGCAAAAAGCACGTTTCATTTCTATCTGGAATTCCATCTCTTGTTTCCTATTTTTAATTAAACGGAAGAACTCTAGAAAAGGGCTTTCGGTAATTATTTTGTGCTTTAGTGTCATAACTCCACCAACACATTAAAGGCGTTAAGGCGCTTAATAACCCCAAGAGGAAGCTGCCCATAATGATAAGGGAGCGCGTCGATTGCACCCGACGATGTTTTACTTAAATCGCGAAAATAATACGAAGAGTTACCTTAACAAATCCAACAAAATAGTGAAGTAATACATAATAATTAATTTTTTGTAGTAAGTAAAAAATATGTATAAAAATATTGAAGTAAAAGGATTAAATTAACGAATAGTTAGTGCAATAGGCGTCTTCTTTCACAAACTAATTTAGATTATTGGGAAAACATTTCCAGGTAAATGATTTTAATCTTGGTTGTAACTGATTAAAACGAACCCGATACTGTTCTGGAGCCAATTGCGTGCCTGCATACCCGAATATAGTTCTAATTGTATCCCATATTTATGCGCACGATCAAAGGGAAGATTTATCCGCTCACTTCCCCTATTTACAAGCAAGAAGTGTGTGGATAAAGTTGGAACAACAAGAAATAAACTGGGTTTTTAAACAAAACATCAATAGATTACTTTAAAGAAAAGCGAATGCATTTATTGGAGCATCAGAAGGTTAATCCTGCTTTGGAGAATTAAATAAATAAAGAGCGCCGATGGAATCTTGGCAAAAGGCGGATACCACAGAATATAGGAGTTTAATTAAAATTGTTTTATTAATTACTGGGAACTTCGATACAGGCGGAATTTAAATTAAGTTTTGATTCGTTCGTCCCTGATTAAAATGTCTTTTTTTAATTGCTCTTTACCTGAAAGGAAGATTCTCCCGTCGAAACTGAATAGATGTTAGCTTATAATTAATTTTAGGAATTAAGTAGAGTTTATTAATATCTATCCCGGTAATTAGTTTTTTCAGAAGATTAAAGCGATATAAAATTGCATAGCAGGGAACGTATAACCGCTCTTGAAATAGTTATTTGTCATAAGGGCTGCTGCGGGTGGGTTTTATGTAAAATCAATAGAAGATAAGAAAACCTAAAATAAAGAATAATATACCCTACCTGCATTCTCGACAATCCCGGCCGGGATCAAATCATCGGAAATTGTTTGTTTTTTCCATTTTTACTCCGTGTCGTATCTTTAAATATTTTGCTCGACTGGCAATCTTTCCGCCGCGTTCGGCATATAAAAACAATGTTAACATCGGGAGGAAGGCAACAGACATTAAAGGCTGATGTAATGCTCGAAGAATTTCACCAAAACACGTTAGAGAAATGCAAATGATAAAAATTCACGAGCGATTATCCAATTCGATTTTGTAAAACTGTGTTTTGTAATTAAAATTTTCTGTCGACAGAACTTTCTTTAACGATAATTTTATTTATTTATCCCGAGAAAGACGTGATTATTCCAAAATCGAGAAGTTCAAGAACCTATTCAAATTTAACCTCTAGGTTTTTTGAATGAATTAATTATGTAACGTTGTTGTAAAATATGTGGTTTTAATGCAAAAGCCTTGTCGAGTTGATATTGGAGCAATAATTATTTAGCAATTTGGTTTTTTCTTGTATCTTCAATACAATCCAGATTTTTTTAATTGAGCAAGAAACTCCAAATTGAATCTAAAAATATTAAATTTCGGATAAAATGATTGTCCTATTATTCTATTACTTATCTATATTTTCAACAGTTTCAACTCAGAAAGAATATGAAATATCTCAAAATATTTTTGTCTTAAAATATAACAGAATTAATCACCGAAAATCCTAATGAAAGACACTCTGTAAAGTTATAACTTCTGTATGATACATATTTTATCACAGAACAAAATAGTTTTTTAATTGTGCCACCCTGTACATTCATACCTACATCAGATCCTTTTCCGCAATTGCGTTAATTTTATAATCAACCGCATTCTACTCTAGAAACATTAATAAAACATCAATGTTTCTAAAGAAATAACCGATTTGATTCGCAATTTCAACCTTGTAAAACTAACTATAATTTAATATACAGTTACGTATAAAAATATAGTGTAACAAATTACATTTTTCCATATCATTAGTCTACAAATTGACCAAAATAACAGTCATCATTAATTAAATTAGTTACAGTAACTGTAAACGAAATTTGGAACATCTTACGGATCCAACGCATTGTTCTCCCTGCGAAATTCAATTTTAAACCAGTTCACCAATTCCATTGTCTTTTACGGTTGCACTTAAATAGCGAGAAGCTGTAACAACTTACCATAAGCACTTTCTCATTAGATAATCCCAGTATAATGTAATCCATAAAATTGGCACTTTCTAATTACACAAGATAACCTACTGAACGAACACTCACACGGAAAATCAGACACTAAACCATTTTTTCAATTGGAAATATTGAAAACGTCTGCGATCGGTTCAATCCTCCATACCGTACCCTTCACCTTCCATTAAACATTATACAGTTATATTCACGAAGCGGCGTTCTACTGGCTCTAGCTAGAACGTTAACGTCAACTTGGGCTTAACAGCACCTAGAACTGCAATGCTTGAGGACGTAGAACCGGTACAAATGAATTTCGTTCGTTACTCAGAGAGGGGATTCCATGGGTATTTCGTTGAATGTCGAAGGTTAACACCGTGGGCTCGACAAGTACTCGCACACCCGGACAACCAGATGGATTCTAAACGGTAGAAATCTTAAACGAACCGCCAGAGATTCATCTGGACGATTGCGGTAGACACTGAAGGAACCGAAGTGCATTCAGTAATTTTTACGCATTGTAGGAAGTTCGCCTGCATACAGGGTGTTTGAAAAGTTAGTATGGTGAAGCATTTGTCTGCATTTAATGCAAACAATTAATTGGCTTTCTATAAGCTCAAATGTGTTACTCCATTCGAATCGAATCGCCCGGTATAAGGCACGAATGAAAGTCAAGCAGCATCACAATTAATCAGAAGTCGGAAGATTTAATATTCATGCATACCCCCAATTAAAAACCGTTCAAGCCCTCGGTTTTCTTTCACTCTAATTAATCTCCGCCCGGCGAACGGGGACTTTACAACAATTGGACGTGATTAAAGATTCAAAACTTAAATTAGAGACCGAGCTACGAATGGCAAAGGGCACTTAAAAGTAATATAAGTGCCTCTACCCAACGGCGGAGGCTGCTATTAAATTTTCTCGCCCAGGTAAGTCGAAGCCGAGCGCCGGGGGTTTTCTGCTAAACAAAGGGCGGCGGACAAAGCCCTTTTTAAATGAAATGCATTTCGTTTCCTCGGCGAAACGGCTCGAGATCGACGAAAATAAGCAAATGCTAATTAACTAATGAAATAAACCGATGAAATGGAACGGTAGATTTTTATGAAATCTTCGTTTTATTTTGATGAGACCTATTTCTTTCAATAGCTTATACTACGAAGGGTCGTTAAAAATATAATAGACTTGCAATTGCGTGGTTATATTTCCTATACAATGGTTCCAGGCAATACGGCTTGTCAATACCTGCTGTTCCGATTTAAATGAATTTTTCTCAGATTTATTATTTACTTTTTTATAAATACAAACAGGCTATTTTTAAATTAGCGTTTCTCTACATTTGCGACAACTACACCTATTATTCATTGGACTTCTGCACTTCATTACACAGTAAGATTTACTTCTAGACAAAATGTTGGGTGAGTATCGTTCCCAAGGTGGTCTATTGTCTCTTATATGCATTCTAGCGCATTCTTTACATTGATTTGAAAGTGGTTTTCTGCAGTGGCACGGTTTGCAGCAGTACCTGCAACGATTGCATTGGCACGGCCTGGTTCTAGGTGCTCCTCTCTGTTTGAACATGAAGCAATTACCTCTCTTTTCCAGGATTCTATTCCTGTATCCGTAATCTAAGGCTTCGTTCACCATATTGTACATTACCTCCTGCAGTTCGTTTCCCTTTGCGTTAACAGGCTGGGTTTCCTGGTTTTTGTTATGGAAGAGTTTCTTCAGTTTGGTGAGGTAGCGAAGAATTAAACTATCTTGGTCTTTGGTTTTCAATTTGATATCGGTTTTGTCCTTTTGGTGCGTGCTGTTTGGAGGATCGCGAGTTTTATGCGAACTTTTTTTATTTGCAATTTTCGGTTTGTTGGTCATGCTTTGTATTTGCGAGTTATACACGGTAAAAATTTTGATAACGCACTTTCGGTGAAATATTTCATTTGAAGTTTTTTTTGATTAAAGAAAGCCTACTATTTAATTCCACTAGTTGATTGAAGTTTTGATTGAATTTTTCTTCTTTTTTTATTCCTCTTATATGTTGGGGATATATGTTTTTTTAGAAATAATACTTTGAGTATATTGCAAAAAATATCCTTTTTAATATAAAAAATGTACATGCGTCGACATATCAACAAACCTAAACATTCGTTGGGCACTATAAATTTGAGAAATTACAAAAGTGTTCAAGGAAAATCCAACAATAAGTATTGTAGATGACTTTAAAAAATAGTCTTAACCTACAATACTAGAGAAAGTTCATTAAAAATCCCCAACATCAATCACTATTATCAAATTAACGCTAAAAATCGACGATATATCGAAACAATTTCCCGGTTTATTCTTGAACACCTTGTAAAAATAACAATAAAAGTCACTTAAAATTTAAAATGTATAGCCTTACTACATAACAATGTTTTCTTTATAATACATACACATTAAGCTAAACATTTCTTTCCATTTTTTTAGTGTGTTTTATATTTAAAATGTATTTACAGACTTGTTCGTCTAAATTATCGAATGATAAAAAGTTTTCTTTAATAAGCGGGGGCCCTATAATAAAAAATTGGAAAAAGACGGAATGGCGGGTGCGATTATTCTGATATATACGATCATCTAACAAGGCTGATGCATTTACAAATTGGATAGTCCTTCGAATAATTGTTTAGAAAGCTTGCGGAATGGTCGAAATGCCAGCGTAACCGGACATTGTAAAATTTTAGTGCTTAAATTAGATTTTTTAGTGTTATTTTTCTCACGAGTCGTTTCTTAAAGTCTATACTAGTTAGATTAATAAAAAAATGAGAACTATCCAATTTAATCGATGAATTGTCATTGCATTGCTTATGAAGTATTTCTATATTAAATATTAAACAATCAATATATTTATTTGTATTCATTTATATAATTATTTGTTAAAAAATCTGAATCACAATGATTTAGTATGTTTTTCGGAAAAATTCGTTCCTAAAAAATTTTTATAAAACAAACTCGCCGGCGTTTTTTTTTCTACGTGAACAAATTTTTCCGAAAAAGTTTCAGTGCAATAACTTGATCTGATAAGGGTAGATTCAAATTCATCTATATCAGAGATTATTTATACATTTATTTAACATTTTGGTTACCACGTTCTGTTAAATCGAAATAAAATTTTCCCTGTATTTATACGAAAATTATCGGTGACTTTAAGCCACACATTACCTACTTTGTAATTGCATTACAGCAGCATAATGAGCACCATAATATTCTCAGGCTTAATTACATTATATTTTTATCACAACTATATAATACATTCATTTTAAGTACTTATACAATTATAATTGTAAAACGTTATGCTATTAATTTGTGTAGCCTTTCTTCTACTATTACATTTAAACATTCGAAAGCGGTCAAATGGCAACCAAAATGTGAAAATATCCAGAAATTACCGCCAACGTTTGTGCTCCTGTGCCAGCTCCATCGGGTAATTCCTGCATCCCTGCAAGCGGGCTTTCATTTTGTTAAGTTACTACTAAATATACGAGTAGGGACCGTCGGTGAGGGCGCTGCAAAGCAGCAGTCAAGAATTCTCATCTTTATTCGTTCCTCCACCGCCTGTACCGCTACCCTGACCGGTAGCCATTCGATTCCTAACTTGCTTGTACTCCATACCAGGATCGAATTGCATCAAAACGAACACCTGAAAAGGGAAAATATCAACTGCACATCGAGCTAAACACCTGGAAAGTAAAGGTCTCATCCGAGCGGATACTTATAAATCTAGTTGAATGGATTTAACAGCTCAAGTACCTGGTCCGTTGGTAATAAATGGAAATCGTCCGGGGGATTAGTTATCACATATCTTTTACTGCTAGCATCACATGAGGAACTCGTGTCTCTAAATCTATAAAGTCCGATGCACAACATTCCGAATTGTTTGAGAGCGGCGACGAATAAATCGCCGTATTTACCGGCCTCGCCGAATTGCGCCAGAGGCCCGTCGTACAAGGATATTTGTCCCACTCTGCAGCGATCTCTATTGGACAAACTATCGCTGGTGCTGCAATCAAAACGATCAATAGTCAATCGAATTCGATTATCATCGCATCGATTAGTACCTGTAGCCACCGCGCAATCCAGCTCCTTCGGCCAGGATCAGTTCGAGTTCGGGCGTAGCCCCGCCGGTTATTAGAGATCTAATTAGTGTTAAGGCATTTTGATTGAAGTACGTCTGGAAATAAACGAATGTAATAAATAGTACTCGGGGAATAACGTGTCTCTTACAGTTGACATTAGAGAATCTAATACGCTGACAGCGAAGGCGGTACCGCAAGCGAACGGTTGCGTCAGGTACAATTCCGTGTCTGGATCGTCGTCGTCGTCTTGATCCAGAAATTGAACGTTGCTGTCGTTCACCAATTCTGGAAAAAACGATCAAACGTCTCAGATTTCTTGGACCGTTGCTATTCTATGCGTACCTGTGATCATAGGTACGTTCGCTCCGTAAACGGATCCTCTTCGTTGGAGAATGATGGGACTGCCGACGGGCGTGCCGGCTTCGTTGTTGCCATTAGCCTGGCTCAGAACGCCTATGGTGTCGTCGAAGGTCATCGCTTTGATGTTCAACGATGCCAGGATGGCCTCCTTATCGGCCAACGTGGGATCGTCGTTGCTGGGCACCTTGGCCGATAAGATGCAGCACATGTCGCACAAATTCACGTTGACCGCCCGCAGATCGGCTCTGCTCAACGGAGAACCCTGCGGAGTTTCGAATGTAATTAACAAGAAGAGCCGGTGGGTGTATATTTACGTTCAGCACGGATATTTTCGGTAGATTTTGCAGCATCTTCCATTCCCTTCGGATGTAATCCACCGAACCTACTATCACGACGTGCTTGAGCTCGTGGTAGTGGAAATTGCTGGCCCTCAAAGGCATGACTAAGTTCCTTAGACCTATTAATGGTGAATCTGGGTCGGCGAATAGACAAACAACCACGTGCCCGTTTAATACTGTCATTGCCGCTTGATTCCTATCCTGTAATTATAATGGATGATTGATAGAATGGATGATACCATCATACGAAAAATCTTTCGATTATTACACATACAGATGAATCTAAAGAATCTAGCAAAAGGAGATTATTACCAATATGCAGTCTTCTAGATTCTTCGCGGGTCCCCAGTGGAACATTCCGGTGCTGTCGTATTTCATTTCAGTTTTCTCGAAGTCAAAATCTTTGGCTTGATCGTCGGCTAAACCGACGGGTAAAGCAACACCGTTGTTGTTCTGGTTGTTCCCGCCGCTACTCCGGCTGGTCGGCCTAAGATTAATGAAGGTAAATTATATTACGTGAAAACATCTAAGAAGAATCTAATCAAAAACTACTAATAAAACTAATAGAATAAAATTACTAGTCTATTCATAGCCTGGAAGGCAATCTTCAAATTGTAATGTTTGGAAGTTTGAAAACTGCCTTCGAAAGTAATCTAATCGTTTGTTAAAATAAAAAATTCCTTTTATAGATCTAGGTAGATTTCGAAGATTAGTATTTAGTAGAAAATTTATTTTTACAAAAGGAAATGAGAGCTAATGGAAATTTTAATCATATACCCAATCTAAAATCTACCCAAAAATAGTTGCATGCTTACCACCAAGTTTTCTATGTGAAATACTAAAAAAATTTAAGTAAAAATATTTCAAAAATCAGTCAAGCATAATTTGTCGTAAGAAATAAGTTATTATTACTGTAATTGAAATCGAAATGAGTGAGTTACAATAGTTACAAAAATTCGTAAAAATATAATAAAGCTTGACTTTTCTAGTTTCTTATGAAAACATAATTTTCTCATCACCTACAATAATCAGAAAAATAATCAAAAAACACGACGAAAAGATATCAAGCTTTTCTAATATAAATACTAATAGAAACTGTAATTTTTTACTAAGTAGATACTGTATAGTTACCACGTTAGAATTTTTAAAAAAATGTTCAAGTGCAAAGCTACTGCAGGCAATTCAGGCAACAATAACTTTTAGAAGATCGAAATTTCCACAAAATTTATTACTTTCTACGTAAATAAATTATTAGACATTTTCCAGTTAATAAATAATTTGTTTAAAAAATTTGTAGACACTCCGATCTCCCGAAAAATTAAAATTAGTTGCTAAGCATACATGAGTTTTTTCACTTCATAGGCTAGGTGATAGCCGGCATAAGATGCAGTCTCTTGCTCTGGTGGTCTGAAAATAGCACATCGCTGACTATAGTAGTAACACATGACTAACTAATAAATAAATTGTATTTTCCCGAAACGCAACAATATGCCTAACACGAAGTTGCATCCTTCTGTGAGCACCTCGATATTTTTTATTTAGGTATTTAATATGTTGTAATCTAATGAGACATTAACTAATGTGTCAAAATACTGTTGCAAACTCGTGTAGAAGCTGGTTTTTTATGCAGCCAATACTTCATGCTATTAGTTAATGTCTTAATATCATTAGTTACTTTATTGAAGACGTGGACATTTCTAAACAAATTTGTTTATATATGAATAGGGTGAATATGATTCGCTCTATATAAAGTAGTAATGACGATATGAAGAATTATACAGATATATTCATATTTTTACTGACGTGAATATCGGCTGAATAAACATTTAAAAACATAAATAAATTGAATTTACCTGCACAATAATAGAAATGAATGAAAATTGTCTTCGAAATGAACCGTCTGGATTATTGTTTCGCCGGATTCGACTATTTTTCAGCGCTTACCTGGAATTATATTCCGGCGATGCCATATTTTCATTGGTTCTGGCAACGTTCGGCTTCACCTTGTTCACTTGCTTCATGGAATTGATCATGTTTGGCATGTTAATTGTACTGTTTCGATGACTGAGATTTCTTTGGGCCACTGTAAAAAACGTTCGTTTGGATTCGCATACTTTCGCACCGGTTGGGTTACAATTAAAAGCGACATTTATAAACCTAGAGTAGATTTGGAAAAAAAGAATCAAGTACATGGCACCTTTGAAGAACAAACCTCGAACTCAATATTTAGATAAAGGGAAGGTATTTAGCAGTAAAGCAGTTAGAAATCAACAATCAATCATTTTCCATAAAGAGTAGTCTAAATTAAGTTAAATAGAAGGAGAGACAGGTTACCCGCAGTTTCATTATAATCACTATTCATATAGGATCAAAAATCAAAGAAAAAACTACAACATAAAACCTCTACAACTCCAGAAGTTGGATTAATCGGACAACAAGAAACTGTTACACATTACACCTAACTCACATTATAAGTAAATAAAGAACACCCAAGTATTTCAATAAATTTTCTTCGCCTCAAATAACCGCACAAACACATACACATGCGACATACATCCCAACCAATTTCATTCAAAACAATCAATATATGCAATTTACATGCGGTTGATTACCTACATTGTAATTGTTTTTAACTATTATATCGTTTACATTTACTTCCTAATCCATATTTCCTATACCTGGTAAATATAAATAATAGAGGTGATAAGTATCTGGCATTTATAGTCACCGGGTATTTTAATGGAAAGCACAATATTCATTCTAAGTGATGCTTTTAATGATTTTTATGGGTAAGCCTTCGACAAAAATGTACAAATACGTTAGTAGATTTTTAGCATCTAAAAAGCGTACCTAAAGTCTTCATTTTACTTTTATACTACTAAGCAATATCCTCCAATTATTTACTATTTTCTTCTCTCATTATGGATCATATAAACCAGCATATAGTGATGGAAGGAAAAAGCACAAAGAAATAATTATAAGAGGATGTTGTGATGACGTAAATTAAGCTCTACAACAAAGCGATCTACTTAATTATGAGCGAACTTTCGTTTTGTACACACTGCGCTTCTTTAATATTTTATAACAGTAATCTGTTGAGAGAAAACTGCAACGAAAAAACTCGAGTGCAATCGCAAATGATATCGAAACGGCAAAATAAAGACTCGAGTGTACTTGCTTTATATTAAATTCGAATAAATTTATATAATACCTTGATTATTATGAGCTCTCTTGGGCAACTCTGGCGGTGTAAAAGTGGGAGCAGGATGATGGTCATCTGTAAATGTAAAGTCAGTCGGCCCACTACATTTTTTTATCCTTTTCTGCATATTCCAAATTGAAAATTTGTATGCTGTAACTGTTTTAATTGAAAGCTATAGTTAACCTACCTTGATAAATTTTGTGTGCGGTAATTAATATTCCAATGCGATTTTCATAAGCGCGTATTGTCTTTGAAAAACGAATTAAAATATTAATGACCAATATTTCAATATGTTCACTAATTTCTTCCGGTACACGATATTCACATATATATAATTGAATACTTTTGCTGCAGAAAAAGTAATATATTTGACCTAGGGTTGTTAGAATACAAAATGTTTGCTGCTTTAATTAGTAAAGGCATTTTATGTTTAATAAGCGAGATTGTTATATTAATGGAGATTTGCAAAATATTTAGTTACAAAAGATGCTGTTTATAAAACATATTTAAAAGTCCAATTTCCTACACTGGCCTATATTTTATTATAAATCTTAATTACTGCACTAACCGGTCGAGCTTTCGCAATTAAGGGGTAATTTACCATAAAATTTTCTAACCAATATTCCTAATTTATTTTGCTAAATTATCCCACTGCACTGCCTGGCACTAATCGGAAATTAATATGTTTACTCTACAATAATTTTTTTAATTAAAAAATATTCTCCACACTCACCTTCCCGAACTGATCGTACATTTTTAGAAAGGTAAGCAATTCTATTCATAACGAAACTACACATTAAATACACATTGAAGAGTAAGAATTAACAACTAACACACCCTATCGAAATTTTGAACTCGCATTTTATATGTGTTACACCAAAAAGAGGCATACAAATTTTCAAAATAATCTATTACCTATTTATCAATAATCCAAGTCCATGCAAAAATTCGTCATCTCTAATCCAAATTGCATGCAAACGTGCTACAGCAGACCGAACTACTCAAAAATCTAATGAAAACTTTTACCGAGCAAAATAAAATTCGATCAAAAAAGAAAAAGGTGGGATGGGAGCACAAAACGTCTTTGATCCAACTACATGAGGTCCTTTCGTTCCTTATATCCGGAAATGATTGCATTTCTTTAAATAATTTACCTATAGGTATCATCCCGCACAGTTAGAAATGTGTAAATGAAACCGAATACTTACCAATTTACCATTATTTTAAAATTTCCCTTTGCTTCTTGAAAAAATCTTAAAGTTATCAAATTTTAATTTATAGCAATTTTCTAGCCCACCAATGCTGTAGAAAGCTGTATTATCGATATTAACCACGCTCCATAGCTTACGATTACAAGGATTGGCCACGAAAATATTCATTAAAATTTATACCTTATAATCCTCACAATGACTTTATGATTTGATACAATATAAATGAAAAAACATCACTTCTAACACTAATCGCTATACTAACAAGGATCCTAGAAGAAAACTTGATCTACTAGATTAGAAGCACCATCTGGTAGGTACAATTTAACTAATACTGTCTTTAACTAATAGTATTTTTCGCAGCCATTCCCCCTATAAATACTTAATATAACAAAGCGAAATTATATTAAAACAGGATGGCATACCATCCAAATATCTTTGGCGATTTACATTTTGTTTGACCATGCCTGTTTGCATCAATATCATTCCAACATCTGCAAAAAATTAAACAACAGATACGTCATAGTAAAATACTAGAAGTGCTTACTCAATTCTGAAAATGTTCCTCGATAAATTAATATCAATTCATTTGAAATTCGAATCGCAACCTAACCATGCATAAAATGTGTGCAAAAAGGGCACAGGGTGTGAGAAAATTTCCATTCCTTTGAACAGTGCCAAGTAAGCAAGCTGATTAAATTAGTTAGGGAATAAAAATATGCAGGAAAACTTATACAGGACCGGCCGGTATTTACAGTTTAATTAAGCCAACCGGTACTGTAGATGTATCCAATACTTTACTTATGGGATAAATTCGTTTGGATAATTCAAGTTTCCGTGTGCAACATAATTACTCCTCTACTATGTAAGAGGTAGAAATTATAATGTTATAATACCATATAATCTTTCTATTCACATTTACTTAAGCCTTGATCAAACCCAGAATTAAATCCCCCACTCATTCTTTAATTTTTATTCACAATGAGAAATTGTTCTGTTCATAAGATGGTATTATAAGATTGAATTATAAACTTTCTCAAAAAAAAGGCATTTCAACTCAACATCCCGTTTGAATAAAGGTATGTATGCTTAATGCAAATTTGTCATAGCAGATCAATAAAAATAAAGGGAAAAACAAATGTTGTTTCGAAGTAAATTCAGGCATGGGGCGTTATCTCCACCACAACTTTCGAACTTTTACTATTTTATTGCAAAGGGTTTTGAGAAATGGTATTTTTTGTAATAAAATTTGCATTCCAATATCCACGAGGCTATTAATTTGAAGTTTTCAATGGGAAAATGGGGAATTTACCTCAAGTTGAGCTTTTGTAAAAATATAAAGCTTTGTAAAGCTCCATCGATAAATAAGTAAACCTCCAAAATAGGTCACTTGCCCATTGAAGATGATCTATCTGAAGAGAATATCTGATATTTATAGGGCGTGTATTAAGTCGATAATTTTTTCAAACGAAAAGATAGATTCTAGAATATAAAAAGTTGTGGTATCGAGATGCGCTCCGAAATTTAAATTTTATTCAGTTACCTAGATCGTGACCCCAGTTACGATGTTGTACAGCCACTAAAAGTGATCAGAAATTGTATTAGTCGATTGATGTAGCAGTTTTATCATGTTCTTTATAGAAAATGACATCTGTTGGACACCGAGGGGTTTTTATTAAGTATAATTTTTGCGTTTAATTAACGCGATAACGTTTTTTAATGTTCGTGTTTTACCTAATCAGCATCTCCGTTGGGTTACATCCTAATTTTAGAGGGGATTATTAGATAATAATTTGCGTTTGTTAAGTATAGGTCAATTTGCTATCTTCACTGTAAATGTAAGGCATTTTTAAAAATGTAAAAAATATAGTATCTAACAATATTTGTTTCATTTTAAAATCACCTAAAAATATTACAAATTTCGATTTTATGTCAAGAAATTAACGAAACTCGATAAAAAATTGTGATACTTACAATTTTTGCATTTGCATTTCTTTATTAAAGTCTCATCTTTGATTTCCTCGTGACAAGCTTTACAGTAATACCAGGCTCTAAAAACGCAATTAGTCACTCTTAGGAAGAATTTTTTTTCGAATTTTACCACCTCTTGACCTCGTCCGCGGATTGTGCAATAAAAAATCCCTGAGTATTCGCAACGATTTTCGCTCCTCTCGGATTTATCGATATCTTCGTATCGGCTCCTTCGACTCCTCTCACTTCTATAGCGAGCAGGAGAAGTTTCAGCTTCGTAAAGCATAATCTGGAAGAAAATTCGATTTATAATAAACACTTGTAGATAGTTAATAATTACTTACTCGCTGGCTTGAGTAAAAGACATCCCGGTAAAAGATGTGGATAACGTTTCTGTGTACATCTCACAACCTGTGCCCTGGAGATAGTCGTTTTGCCACACCTGAGTATCCGGTGACTGAAAATTTATTTATTTTAATGCATGTCTTTTAGTCCTATTAGTCCTTATTTACCGTTTTGAAAGAGCGCATTGCAAATAAATTCGCCATCATAGTTGAGAAACCTGGAGCTAAACACGATTGAGCAATGAATCCTAATTTGAGTTCCGCCAAGCAGATGACATCATCGCCTTGTTTCCAATCCCAAGAAGGTATATTCAACAGGTAAGCCTGAAATTCCACAGAAACTTTCGATACAAGTACTAATAATTTAGCACCAAAAATTCAAATACTACTAGATACTAAAGTTAAATATTATTTTCATTCATAGCATTTACCTTATTGTGGTATTGCATTAATTGAATGATCACCCTAATGTCGTCGCTGTAATTTTTTATTGAAATTACTCTCATTATATTGGCGGCGTCTTCGGCGTCTGGATCTTGGCAGTACTTGTTTGCTAGTACCAGACACGCGTCCGCTTCGTGCACCTAAAATGTTAAATAAAATCTAAAGGAAAAATCGAATGGAGTTTTAGTATACTTATAATTTGTCGATCGATACGGAATTTTAAATTGAATGTAATTTTGAAATATTCTCAATTTGTTGTACTGTTTATAGTGTTTGTTAATGAGCTAACCAAGTGTAATTTACTCGATTAAGAAGCTGTGTATAGATGATTAATTACATTAATCTATATGATTTTTTAAAGTGCATTGTTTAGCTAACTTGATTAGCTCATTTCGTAAGAATTCTAATTTAAACATAAAATTGTGAATTTTTTATCTACACTACAAAATTTAAGGTAAAAAAAATCGTGATTAAAAATAAATTTGATTGAAATATTTTCCGTCATGCTTCCTTTTATTCTACCGTTCTACTGACATTCCGTTAAAAAATCGTCCACTATTATTTAACATGCTAATGATTATTAGATCATCTAGTTAACTTTATCGCACTACTAAGTACATACCTTATCATTAGATGTACTCGTATAATCCGACAAAATTTTGAGTATTTTCAGAATGTTTTTTTTTTGATTTAATGAGTTAATAAACTAAAAACTATCGAAAAAATCCAACACGACTCTTTTGTAGTTAGAGTTGTTCAGAATGAGAAATAGGTAATTTGGTTAAAACAATCGTAATTAGCAACGAGGTTGAAGTGATTTTGATACGGCATAATGCAAATAATAAATTAGCAATTTAGTACTTACGCAGTACGAAGTTAGTACTCCAAAAGTTCATTTTTTATAACCTTAATAAACCTACCAACAATGTTGCCCTTTGATTACTGCATAGATATTGTTAGTAACAAAATAAACTTAACTTTTTTTGCATTCTAATATCATCTATTCTATTCTATTCATAGTTAATACTAAATCGCCAATTCTTGGATTAAAAAGATTGTTATAAACAATTTTTACCATCACTTCGACCCCTTCCCCTAACTAAGTTAAGTTACGTCGACTGTACAAAATGCAATAAGTTGACTCGCATTCGACTTACCTTGACCCTTTGCAGATCAATAGGGTTCATAATGGTACCTTGGAAGAATTGTACAGTAGTGAAATGTCTCTTGAATAGACCTTCCAGTTCAAGGTCCGGCGGTTTCCTACACATTCCAAACATTAACGAAAATCAAGCGAATCGAAAGCGTTCGAAAGAAATTATGGAACCTATTTGCGTTTTCAGTACCATTACTAATAAAATCGTAATACCAAAATGATTTTCAGAGCACCATGCAGAAATTTGATTTGCGAAATGATAAATTAAATACGCTACTTTGCAAGACTTTTGTGCGCTTGTAAATATTCGAATAAAATCTCGCAAAGAATAAACATAAAACGTTTCTAATAAACTAAAAAAAAATATATTCCCAAAAATTCATTCCCATCGACTCTGAATACGTTACTAAATGGTACCTTGACTCTTTCAAGGTCTACAGCATTCATCATGGTTCCCTGAAAAAACTCCACGGTTGTATAATGGCGTTTTAGCAGACCTTCCAACTCCAAATCGGGTTCTTTTCTAAAAATATCTCAAATATATTTCTAATTCTACGCTTTAAATAAATTTGAAATATTATAGATAATAGATTACCTACTATCAATTTAATTATTATTTTTTACTTTACTTCTATAGCTATTTATATCAGATTTACTGATATTCTCCCAAGTTTCTGCCACTTTACCCAGCTCTGCTCAAGCAAATACTCGTGTAATGATTAAATTAATTAATTCTCGTTATACTAAAATAATTGTTAAGGTAACTCACCGATGTAAAAAAACGACTTCCACGTCTACATCTTCTCTATCTTCGTGAAGAAAATCCTTGAGGAAATGGGACACCGATTCGTAGGTAATGTGCCCGCAAACCACTATATGCCTAAATAAAAACAGACATTTATAATATCACAGAAAATCAACGAATTTAGGACTGTTTCTAAATTCACTCCAACAAAAATTTATCCAATTCAAAATCGAGTAAATTGTTATTGGTTACTTTCAAGATGCACTGAATATGTATGTGCAGTTTTAATAAGTACATGTGAAAATCTTCCATTATGAAAATTGTTGTATTATAGGGAATCATAAAGAGCACTTAGAAGGAAAACTTAAGGCAGTTAAAACTTTTTTTGAAAAAAATCAATGAAGGTAGTAATAAATGTGTAAAGAAAAGAAATTTGTATCTAGTCATAAATTATTTACAAGTTCCTATAAAAAATAAATAATAAAAATATGTAAGTATAGTACACAATCAACCGGCATAATGGAAGATTATTACAATAAAAAAGACTGCAAAATGTTTACTAAAAAGAACATCATGCAACTAAAGCATCGAATAAATTTCTGATAAATAATAATCACATCTCCAGTACATCACTAAATTATCAGAAACTTGGCTGCCTAAATTAATGAAAACTCTAAATCTAATCTATTAAGTACAAGTGAGCGCCTATTCACAGCCTGGCCACGCACTTCAGTTTCTAGTGGTAGTGGATGGACTCCCCATCCGCATGCAGACCACTATCAAGTCTATCTATTTGATAATTTTGCGATTAATTTATCAATTTGTCTAGTTTTTGACCAGTTTTCGTTTGTCATTCGACACAAAATTCGTAATAGGAATGTACGATAAAAATAAAAACTCTAAAATGCCTACATTGTTCCCATTACATTTCTTACACAGTTGGACATCCGTTATACACTCGTTAAAAATGTTTAAAAAATTAGTGTGATTGTGTAAACGAAACAATAAGACGATTCGTACTAATAAAAACATTTACAACATCAAAAAAAAGGATAGAATCAACGTTTAATAAAAATTGTAGGTAATTCTGTAAATAATAATTGAGATGAATATGAATAATAATAATAAAAGTCCTTTTATAAATGTACAGAATTGCCCTTGATAAGACAATTTGTCTTATTCTAATCGACTAATCGTCAATTCTTTATTACCTAATTCAATTTTGCTTGATCCTATCCCATTTATAGCTGGTTGGTTTCAACAATTTTCATGCGCAGAATTTCTGGCTCTTGTTGGAACGAACCATAAGGAGAGCAAGTAAGTATTAAAACCTCTTTCGTAAAGGAAACATGTACTACACACTTTTCGCCGTATACAATACGCGATTAAACTTTTTAATAAAATAACCAATAAATTAAGAAAGCGAAAAAGAAGGGTATCCGTAAGGTTTTGAAGAAGACGTTGACAAATACAAAAAAAATAAAGAATAGCGCTCGAATGGCGAAAAGTCGATTCATCGAAAGAGGCCTTAATTTCTAACCATTTAAATAACACATCAAATTCGATTATACAGACATACAAATATTATGACTATCTCACCTTCGACCTCGCTCGTTCTTCAAGGAGCCGCCGTATTTCGGTCTAGTCCCAATCAAGTCAATGATTTCGGGGATACAACTCGCGAATATCGCCTAGAGACGCGGATAAAAACAAAACAAAAAAATAGAAAAAACATATCGCTAAATAATCCAAGTGAACATTTAGCCTCGAATCGAAGGGAAGGCCTTTTTTCCGGAAGGATCGACTGTTCGCCGTTCGTTGCAAGGATAACCAATCGCTGTGTGAACTGAAAATGTCGCAAAAAAACTCTTGTGCCAGCCGGTTTATTAAATTCCCAACGACTGTAGGTATATTAAAACTACGTTGCATTTTATTTATTAGAACGTCCAGGATTTAATCCCACGCGAGTTTTCATCGCACAAACACTTTGGAGGTGAGCTGTTCAAAATTTTATGCGTATTTCGTATTATAAAAAAACACGGCTTATTATAATTTTTACTATTCTTAGCACGACGTCTTATTATGTAGACAAAGGCACTAAAAAAAGGACTATTTTGTGCAGCAAACAGCGAAAAATCGATCCTTGTTAATAAACAAATTTTACTAAAATCTTACTCTTGCCACATAGTAAAGAGAACATTTCCTCACATACATCAGGCTAAATAAACACTTCGTGTTTAGTGTAATTGCTATCTATTTACTAATTAATGGCGAATGTATTTTGAAAAATTTTACATAAAAAATTTGTAATTAACAAGTCCAATTGAGGAGCCTTTTTGAACTAAATAATAACGATAAGCATTTAATTTAGATGTTTTAAAAAACCTTTTTACTTGAGGTATTACTGCCACAAGTACAGAATATCTACCTACCTACCTACCGAAATATTTAAACGCAAAGTTACAAGTTTTCAACAGTACTGTTTGACTGCATATGATTGAGATTTTCCTTGACAAACGTACGTTAAAAATTGTTAATTGATCCTCTCCATATACTTTCTCAAAGAAATGTACAGTTAAAAGGATATAAAATCGGTGTCAATTTTCAATCCAAACGTAATTGAAACCTAAATAAATCTCCACTAACTTGGAGGAAAAACCAATCCAGTGAGTATCCAATTTTAAGATACACAGCCTTTATTCGGTATACGCGTGAAAATAACGCGGACGACAAAATAAAATTAGGAATCTTCTTGTAAATATTTTTTTGCCAATCACACCGTGCGTGGCACTAGCAGGCTGTGCAGGCATTTGGTGTTAAGTGCTACTAGAAAATCGTTCTACGGGTTGATCTAATTCAAAAACTAGGCTTAAACCTATGGGAAAGTTCAAAAATTTCGATCTACGACTTTATTTTCTGTTTAAAAATCGGTTTCAAAGCACGAAAGCCAAGCAATCGTGTGTGAGTGTGCGAATTTTTTTTTCGAATTGAAGAAATATCTGATTTTATGTAGCGAATTTACTTCGTTGAATCAACGGAAATATTTCGTTTTCGCAGAACCTTTGCGCACAAAGTCTTTTCAACCAAACTGATTTCTTCGTATCTACGATCAATCGATATCGGGTATATATTTTGGTGTATACGCAATTTATCTACAGTTTCAGCTAGCACCATGCCAAAAATTAATCATAAATCAATAACAAATTCTAATATGCTTTAAATCAAAAATATTACCGGCAACCTGACTCGGTAATATTTGGGATAGTGTAAAAAAGACTTGGTCCTTCGAAGGGATTCAACCGATTTTATTCATACGTGATGTTTGTAATCAAGGGATTTTTGTTTATTCATAGGCTTTTTTGCAGGTATTATGTAAAATTTAATTTCACGTTAGAATTATATATTGATTGGTCCAAGTCGATTTTACTTACAATAATGAATTTACTTAAATTTCAAATTCAAATTCTACTTTAGTAAATTTATTTTAAACTAACTCAAAACCCGCATGTGTATTTTAAAGTTGTGTAAATCTAAAGTGCTGAATATTGAAGGTAAACTAATTACCAAATGAATGTCATGTAGTACAATTAGGTTTTACGGTGTATTATCGAGAGCAACTTAAACAAATAAAAGTACTTAAAAATCATATAGGGAATTATGTTGCCCTCGATAATTCGATACATTCGACGTTTTCATCGATGAAAAGCGTAAAGACCTCACCGCTTTAGAGTTAATTATTTTTAATAAACAGAAATTGGACGTTGTTCAAAAAAAATGTTGATGTGCGTCAAGTCTCAGGTAAAATTTTGTTTGTCTGGTTACGAATATTGCATTCCATTAAAAATACGAGTTCTACGTGTGGCAAAGTGAATAAATCCAGCATTTTAGATGGGAAATTTGTGTTGAATTAAATAATAATATGTTTCGTGTTAGCTTAAAGTACCTGCGTCGCACGTCTTTGCTGTACTTGCCACCGTACTTGGGACGGTTCGCCGCTAATTCGGTTATCTCGGGAATCCAACTGGCGAAAACAGCCTAACACAAGAACCGACAAACCCGATCAGGCTCCTCTTCGGACCGCATTTATTTTTAAATAACTCTATTCTACGTGCTTTTCGCTATTTGAGCTTTAGCCGATTTCGACCCGCCGGAAAAAATGGGCGAAATTCGAGTATGTAGCAAAGCGACGAGAAGCGACGAAAGCGCATGCTCATTTCGATTAAATTTCAGTAAATACTCTTACATTTTAACAGAAACATTTCAAAAGCTGTTAAAATAAATTTTAATTTGGGCGACTTGGTGACAAGAAAAATTGAGCTTGCAGGAGCTTTTGCAGACTTATAATCGAAACATCAAATGATCAAATTTTTAAGTTTAGTTGGGTTAATCTGTTAGATGCGAGCTTGCAGAGCATCGCATTATCTTCAGGAATATGTAATAGGAAAAAAACAGTTATCAAAACAATACAGAATGATTAAGAATTTACTGGAAATTTGCAATAGAAAAAGTAGTACTAATAAAAAGCTTATAACTTAATAATATGGAAAAGAACAAGCACTCTGTGCTTTAATATAAACTTTCATAGATCTGAAATGTGAGTATCTACTCTGAAGACGCGCGATCTATTTAGAACCTGATGGAAAATTAGCCAGGGATTCTATAACTTTTCTAAATAGACTGCGATTTTCTTCGAATATTCTTTTACAAAGCCGAAAGCTGAACCTCAGTTGCATTCAGACTAGAACAAAACATGCGCCTTGGCTGCTTCTCATCCCGAATGCACTCGAGTCTGAACGCATCTGAATGCGTTTGAATGCAACATCACCATTACTGTAGCCAAAAGAAAATTACCCAATCCGGATTTTTCTCCATGACTATAGTAAAGATCATCACCTTCGTTGTTTATACGCATTTATAAAGTTGTAAAAACACTAACCAGGTTTTATAATTTTATGCCCTACACAGAAGTAACAGATTGCGAGTAGTAGAGTGTTGTATCGCCAAACAGTAAATCAAATACAATACACCGGCTTAATCGTAAAATTACGGGGTAAAAGTAAACGAAAAGAATACTCACCAAACCGACCAGAAGGAAAAAAACTAAAAATGTCCTTCCCAGCACGGTGTGGCAGAAGACATCCCCGTATCCTACTGTCGACATGGTAACGATGAGAAAGTAGACGCATGTCCAGTACGATAGCGGATGCGGATTATCGAAATCCAATGGATCGCCGGAGTTCTCTAACTGGAATACAAAAAATTAGTTGAATTTAGACAACACAATAAACATAGACGTCATTATAAAAATATAACTGCAGCCAACAATTTCCAAGTACCTGATTCAGAATGTTTTGCATTGAAATGTATTTTAGAGAAACGAAAGAACAATTAACTTTTCTGTAAAAACTTTGTGCAGAAGTATGCAATTGCAGTAGAAAGATTATTATTATTGTTGGATCTATACATAAATTTCTATGCGGTTCCAGGAAGATGACACAGTCGGACTAGAGCCAATTTTACCTGGATAAATCTGGATAATAAATTTAAAAACTCAAAAAATACACGTAATATTTGTAAGAATTTATGTTGTCTCCTCACTAGTAAATAGGTAAGAAGATGAAAACTTAAAAATGGGAATAAAATGATTGTAATTACGCAATGAATATTTGTTCGTAAATACTTCCATTCTGATAAGGAAGTCTAATTATTACATATGTATATCATGTGCACCTAATTTTTAATTACAGCAGGAAGTGATATAATTTTAATGTGCTCCCAAATAAACTGTTGTTTTTCTTGTTTCCCATATAAGAATTAAAAAACTGTATCATAAATTTATGGCGCAAATCTATACTCGCTTCCTGCAGCCTAATAAAATTCATACATTATCTAATTTCCTGCCAATATTTCTTGTTAGTTTTTCTTGAATAAAAATAAGATAAAAGTCGAATTCAGGATGTCGCAACCTTCGAGTTATTAACGAAATTATAAACGGCTTACCAAATGTATAAGGCCCGCTGCCGTCAACCATACCGATATAAAAATAGACACCAGTTGAGCCAAACGAATGGAACTGGATGTTTTCAAGATGTTTAAGTACTGAAGAATATCCGGTACGGTCATCAAACGGAGAGCTCTCAGGAAACGAAGCCCTGAGAAAATGTTGCAATTTAAATAACGAAAAATTAATCGGTGATCACTGGTATCTCACCTATCCAGGTTCGATCCAAATATATAGACACAAACGATGGTGGAATTGTGAAATAATCTACGAATGAGTACATCTCCAACATAAACCATAATTTGTCGCTTGCAGCTATAAACTGAAAAATAATTGAAACAAAACATCTATAGAAGCAGTACATGAATCTTCCCGTCTCTGGTACTATTATCTTATTTTAACCCCCTGACCATCAATAACAATAAACAAACAAATACTTACTCTTATACAAAAATAGACCATAAAAAATATGTTGAAGGCAAGGTCGATTTGTTGAGTAATATTGTCGCTCCATTCTTGGCAACGCTCGACTCCTTCACTGAAAATTTAAAAAAAATATTTCGAATACAAGCACTCAGTAGATAAAGAAAAACTACCCAAAAGATTTGCTCATTTCATACTTGATAGTTTTACGTTTGTAAGTAGTCCAAAAAGGCGTCACAAAAAAGTTTATATTAACTTATATGGGATTGATCAATCCTTTAATAATGTGTAGCATTTTTGATATAATAAGAAACTTATATAGAAAGAAAGAGAAAAAATAGACATTAATTAATAGAGTACATAATGATAAAACTAGCGTTAACGATGACATATTAAATTTTTACGAGGAAGTATTAAGTAGTTATGTGAAATTATTGATATTGGAATAACCGAGATTTTTCATCTGAAAGGTTATCAAATTATTAAATAAATTAATAAACAAATAATAGGACTTTTATAAACATTTTTACGAGAAAAATACTCACTTTGAGGCATCTATGAAGTAAATTATTAACGAAGCTATGCTTAAAATGAACACTAGGACAACCTGCAATAGAAATACAGTGTGAGTTTCGTTATGAAATACACATAGAACTATAAGAGCATTATTCCTAGCTAAGGTTTAGTCAGTAATATTCTTAGCTAATCAATTTTATTGAACGTGCATTGCGTGTTTCGTCTTCGTAATATCCCGTAACACCGACGTGGATAACTTTATTATTAGATCAATATTCCTAAAAGTTGAAATAAGTTCTTAATATTTGGTACAGTCACACAAAAGGTAAAAATATTAAATCCATTCGGAAGCTTTTTACTTTGAAATCCTCTTAACTACTACTAAAATGTGTTTCAGATAATTTTATCTTAATAGCTATTTTTATCAACACACTGTAGAGAAGAATTCTTTTGTAGGTATGTTAACAATTCCACCTATATTAGCTATCAATACATATCAATTTGATTTTGCTGCTCATTTATTTTATAATGTATTGGTAAATATTGATAAATCACTTATCTTTTCAGTAATGGAAGTTAATTATAATTAATTAGGTTTACAAGGGGACATAATATAATGTCAATTTTTGAATGATTTTTGTATAATATTTACTGGAATACGTATCCACCTTCGCATAAGGTAAGTCAGATAGGTGGGTACACTAATTTGATTGCACGAATAAAATTACTAATCATTAATGGAATAACAAGAATGTGTAGCAGATCGATAAATGTCTAATTTTAGCTGATATTTCGATACCATAAATTTACAATTTAGGCCTCACCACTAGCACAATTTGAATTTTTTTGTTTGTAATTTAAACGAAGATGTAGGTAAGTGGTAGTAAAAGCAAATTATAATACTTAAAGAGAAGATTATGAATATTATACAAAAAAATATGTGTGTGTTGTATTTTTGTGGTATTTCTGGAACTTTTTAGCCCATTGATATCGACTCCTTCGGCATACCTCCATCACTGTAATTCACTTAATATGACAACAAAACAAAACGATGAGTAAAGCAATAATTAAAAACTAAAAATAATAGAATGACTAAACAGAAATTACCAAAATTTTTCCTAGTACATTATCCGGAGACGCCAACTCCACCGCCAAATCCTTAACTCTAATAGAAATCGACCTCCACGTTCCAACGGCATTTCGGTTCAGATGGCACGGCAACCAGTGCACAGTTTTCTTGAATTTTTTCCGCAAGAACACCAGCAATCTCCACAACAACACCGACAGCACGCCTGTTAGAAAAGTCCCGATCGACGACCACAGAAAATACCAAAATTTCCTCTCGTAGATGCAAGAGGGATCCTCGGTAACAAAAGTCGAATTCATCTGGCTCAATCGCCGGACCAAAAACTCCGCAAACAGCGTGATGCAGAAGTTTAGGTTTCGATAAGACGCCGAGAGTCGAGTTTCGAGTTAATGAGCTGAATGACAATTCCACGTTGGTGAGTGTAATATATCTTTTGTCGGTGGTTATGCGCACTTTTAATAATTGTGTTGCTGTCGGATCGTGATATCGTCAACCTCCAATCGCGAATCGCTTCTACTTGATTTGCTTTATACGCTAAACTCATTAGAATTTATAAATGCAATTGCACTGGAAGCCAATGAGTAATTCTTTAGTTCACATTGCAATACCTGAGTTTGTGGAATGTAAGTAAATCGAGAGCAAAATGCGATGTATTTTTTGTTAAAATTTTTAGTCATTTTTCAACACAATTACTAAGTATGTAATTATCCTTCACAAAAAACGCATACTAATTGTTCCTCGCATTGACCTGATGATGTTTGTAAAGATCAAAACAAGCTGTCTTTGGTACTTACAATTTAGAAATGGAAACGTATCTCAATGGGTTTTCACTATAAATTGGCCCGACTTTTATTGAAAAGTGACTGAAAAAACGTGTTAAAAAGATATAAAGAAGGGAATAAAATATAATTAATAGGTCACAAAATTAAATGCATGTTTTGTTCACGTTTAAATAGCTCTTTAAAATGAGAACTACGTGTAGTTCTTTCGAACGATTTCGAACGAAACTAGGGCAAACGTTTTGTTACATAAGCAAAATAGCAAAATTTGTATCAGAAATTTCCCTGTCAAAGACAAAGTCAAATGCTCTTAGTATCTAACAATTCACAAATTAAGCACATAGGTAACTTATTGATTTTCATCGTTTACCACATAGGAGCGTGTAATTAATAATCATGAATAAGGACTCATTAATAATTCGTAGGCGTAATAATGAAATATTCAAAAATAATCGCTACATCACTGACCTATCCTTCATTTATTCCTAATTTCTAATAAAATAATTCAACGGTAAACTACATAAATAAATTTGGAAAAAAACTTACCAAAATTCGTCCTGTCGTAGTTTGTCCTGATATCAACTCCCCGGCCCAATCCTTAGCCTCTGTCATGAAAGTACCCTCGAACTCCTGCTTGCCCCTGGCGGCCTTTTGCTCCTTCTGTTTGGGATCATTGGGTCCCAATTCGGCCTCCTTTCTGCAGCACAAGAACGCGAACAACCTCCATACGAGCACGATAAGCAATCCCGCGAGAAACGTACAAATAGACGATAGAAGAAAACACCAATACCTTCGATGATCGAGACATGGGTCGCGAACAATGGTGTTGTTGTGGTGGACGTCTTCATCAGTAGACGACATTCCGCGCCAAACGAAGGCATTCACGTATTTTTAATACCCTAATTTGTTGTTAGTTTATTGCATTTTCGATCGCAATTTCTTCTTTATGGCAAATGTCGATAAAAAAACCTTACGATGAACACGGAATTTCAACGGAGACCGTAATATCTGCGTGTCGTCAGTTATGCGCATTGCTAGACATTGCACGAGAGGTAGAAGGAGCGCAGTAGCCGCTCACATTGATTTTTTTAGAAACTGTCACACGATATTTAATTTTAGAAGACGAACATTCAAAGCAGATATTCCATCTGATCTCTAATTAGAAATATGGTCATTACCTAACGCGAGTCGCGGGTAGACGATTTTATTCGATTTATTCGACTCTATAATTAATCGGGAGAGCGTATTTAAATCACACCCAAAACGGCACTAGAGCCGTATACATTTTAATGTTAAAGTTCAGACACGAATTTAGGGCGCCTGCCCGCGATTCCAATCTGCAGGTCTGCTATTTGCTGCTTATCAACACGTCGGCTGCTCTAGTTTCTTATTCTTACACGAAACCCCAACATTCGTTCAAGAAATCCCTATAAATTCTAAACTTACTAACTCACAGGAGGTAATTTTGAACAAAAAATGTCATAAAACTTTTTAGAAAAGTTAATAGTAAATTTTGGTTTTACCACCATTAAAAGATACAAATAATTATTATAACAATTAAATCTTTTATATAATATAACACCCGGTATTGAACTTTTTTTAAAACTGATGAATACTTTTCTTTATAGCAAATTTAATGCACTTTTATGGTGTGTGATCAAAATTAATGTGACTGTACAAATAAAAGTAATATTTCCGTCTTTTTGGAAAACACCAAATGAAAAATTTAACTATGAAATGTTAGATAAAAGGGAAACAGTCAACTTTTCGAAAAAGTGTTATAGAATATTTCTTTTTCAAAATTACTTTTACCTCCTGAAGTTTGTCGGTTTCTGTAGTAGACAACCTTCATAGGGAAGCAAAAAATGAGAAATATTATGAAGAGGGTAGTTAACAGATGAATACAGAATACCCAATTCTATCAAAAATATAAAACTTTTTACCCACAAGATGATTTAAAACCTCAGTGGGGTTGAGACAATTATGGAAGGATACTTATAGAAAAAAATCAATGGGCTTATCAGTGTATACCTTTTTAAACGCTATCAATAAAGAAGCAAAAAAGAGAAGACAATGGAACTATCCAGGTCAATATCACTCTCATATTCATAAGATATGAGGGTACAATAGGAATATCCCGCTTCAATCCAGATTTTCATTTACAAACTTTTAAAAAATTCAAACTGTAACCAAATTTGCATGATTATCCGATGTCAAACTTGAACGTACAATCATTCTAGTGCATCTCCTGCTTTGTTCAACAATCTAAAAAAAGTAAAAAAAGCTGGAGCTCAGCGTCATAAGAATAGCTCCTAAGGATGCTAAATACAACAGGAATAAGTCCTATTATAAGAAGAAGAAGACATAACCTAAGTATTCTAATCTAGCGAAGAACATTCGAATCGAGTGATTATTGCACAATTAATTCTACAAACAGCAATCTTTCAGTAAATTCCTTTTTTCAAAGTAAATAAAAAGAATTGTAATTCAATGTTTTAATAGCAATAAAAAACTGTATCAACTATAATTATTGTAAATGAATAAACTTCAACGTATGTATGGTTGCTTTACCCATATTAATTGAAATTGAGGTTAGTCTTAACGAGGTAATTGTTGTGTTACACATAATTAAGCTACAAAGTCTAAAGGTCTGTTGAAACCGCCCTTTCTGTTCATGTATTGTCTGTATTTTCGCTTCAATATAACGTGCACCGCACCGGTGTTGTTTCCATCGACTTTCTTCCCTTTGGTCGTGTCGAAATTACAGAAGCCCATCAGCTTCATCATTTCCTGTTCTTCGACGCTTTTGCCTTCCAAATCGGCCGCCGTCACTATGGGCCTATCGGGCAGGTTTTTCCGCCGCCTTTCCACCGGCGATCGGGACCTGGAGCGCGAGTAACGTCGATGGTCATCTCTATCGATGGAATGTCGTTTTCTTTCGCGATCGCGCGACCTATCTCTGGATCGTTTCCTTCGATGCCTCTCCTTATCTTTGTCCCTTTCCCTATCCCTGTCCCTGTCCCTATCCCTCTCCCTGTCCCTGTCACGTTCCCTGTCTCTGTCCCTGTCCCTTTCTCGGTCTCGTCTTCTTGTGCTAAACGGAGATTTCGACCTACTTCTTCCCATATAAACTAAAAGAAAATTCGAATAAGTACGGAAATCGAGGTGGTGATGAATCGTTCGTTTTTTTTACCTGAATTTTTGAGACTTTTTTTTTAAACTTTCACTAAACGTCACGACCCCAAACAAATCAATTGACAAGACAAAAATGTCGGAAAATTTGACGTTTAGTTGGTGTTTTTTACGCAAAGGCGCTAGTTGTACGGAATGTTTTATTTGCAAAGGAAAATCGACCTTATTCAACGCGCTCTAGCGTTTCAAATTCGAACAAAATAAAAATGTGAAGAGGGCACTTCGGTGTTGCCGCGATCTCACTACAGATTTAGAGAGACTTAAAAAAACCATTAAAATTGCGAAAAAAATACGTAAAAATCGTTCATAACCCATCTGGAGTTGTTAGAATCACGAAAAACACTCTCAAAATCGCACAAATTTCTTCATACATAACGAAAAAAATCCCGAAAAAAACTTAAAAAAATCATCCCTCGCAAAAATATTTAATAAAAAATTGATAAATATATAAAAAAGCCTTTTAAAAAATAAAAAAAGCTTTGAAACGTATTCTAATTTATTAAAAAAGTGTACAATAATATTTTTCACAGCGCCATCTACAAAACATTAAAATTTCTCATCTGGCAACGACGCGTCACAATGACTTGTGTTCGCTGTTCGATTCGGCTCGGTTCGGCTCGGTTCGGTTCAGTTCGGAGTAGTAGATAGTTGGTGGTTTTTTATATGGCGGAGGTTGATCTGGTTACGCATAATTCAACGGCTGGCTCAAATTTTGTAAATACAGTGTTTTCGTCCTAGAAAGTTAGCATCAAACTCCCGAAGTGAATTAAAATCCGATATCGCATCGTGCTACTAGACCACACATGGGACTTACACTACGGTGAGCTGTGATATCGCTGCATAAATCCGCTATACTTGACGGGACTATTGTGATCTTTAAATTAGAATTAGTCAACAAATTGGTTACGGTGAGTAAATCTATTTTAGATTAATCTTCTTGTTAATCTCGATTGTACAAACGGGCACTTCGAGGTGTAAATGTACCGATTTCGAACAAATTCAGGTGGGGTGTGTCACTTCAATTTGGAACAATTAAAGACTTTTTAAACAAAGCCAGTATCGCACAAATGCCGCTAGAATAGTTGTTTAATTCACGTATATTACATAATGCGCACATTGTGCGATAAACCTTTTCGAAAGGCTTAATATTAATCATGTTGATGAGGGTTTCCTGCCTTACATACAGGATAATTCTAAAGTCCATTAATGGTGTAATCAGCTACAAGCTACATACCTTACTGAAACGATAAAAACCCGATAGGGGAATAAGTAGAGTTCTAAAGGTCGTTAACTTTTTGATACACTCCAAGAGGAATTGCCATTTTATTACTAAAATATCCTTTACGAATGCACAATTGGCTCTTTGTCCTTTACTTTTATCTTATATTTCAGCTAAACGAATAAAATGCTAGCAATATTCACGCTTTTAGCAGATTTTGTAATTTATAATAAATGAAAAGCAATATAAATACTGATTACATACATGTGTTTACCCAAGTACTTACATAGTTTGTCTTATATATTAATTCGTTTTTAAGTACTTTCCGTTTATCATTATTACTGCTCGAGTGATTCAAAAAACTCGATTGTAAAACTTAAATCGGCTTAAAATAAAATATTCTTCTATACGTAAAGTGTGCACATCGTCTAACCTTAAGGTTATTGATGTAAATTAGTGTGTGGGAGTTGCTCAGAGGCTTTGCGAATGAAATATCAGTGCGTTGGTTAAATTTATACATTTTTTACGCCCTTAGGTTATTGTAAAAGTATAGAAAAAAACCCAGGTCATCGAACTGACTGTTTACTTACTAGGAACATTGCAAAGCCATTAATTTTTGGCAAAATGTTCTCCAAATAGATAATTAATTTTAACTAAAGTATTATCTGAAATTGAAATTTTATGTAAACAGTTATGGTCAATGTCAACTTAAATTTCACTGTTACGAAATGTTGTGCGAAATGATTACATATTAAATGCAACAATCAGAACCCTCCTATAACAACAAAAAAATTATTACCAATAACCTTGTTTTTTATGATTTCTATATGTGTAATTAACCTAATATCAAACGGCTAAGTTTGGCAAATCCATTTCATGCACTTAATTAGTATTTGTAAGCACCGTGAAAATATCAATGATTATGCTCAATTTATAAACACCTACTTGGCTGATTTTATCGATTCCTTTATTGCAAGTCTAACAATAAGGTAAAAATCTGTATCGAGTAAACACAACTATAATATCTAATATTAAACGCATTGTTAACTACTTCTTTAATAGTCGTTAAGTGATTGAAACGATTAATTATTAGTATTAGCATAATTTAGCGTTTTAGGTATTAATTTTTAACTTCCTGAAGCACATCGTTGCTAATAATCCATTTTTTATTCAGAATTGTTGCTTATTTAAATAATTTTATCTTGATATGCAAATATTAGTCGGTGTTAGTGGGTAAATTATTAGAATGAAACAAATTCTTGACAAGTGCAAAATGTCATACAATAGAGAACATCACAAATAGAAAGGAAATCTGAAAATAGAGGAATAAAGATAGAATAGAATGTCTCCTTTTAACATTTACACAAACAAAACGTTATAAAAAGAAATTTACAATAGTTAAACATTTACAAATAAACTGCAATATGTGGAACGTTGAACTACCTATCTCACTAACCTATCTGATGGCTGTTGTGTAATAATTTAATCCTATTTGCAATTTGATGGCATTCTATTTATATAATTTCGTTTATATTTTTTCGCTGTGAAGGAGGATTTTCGATGTCATTGAAATTATATTTAGTACCTAATTGCCTAATAATCACCGATTCTTTTTTCTATGCTGTTGACGTTTTTAATTAAATTTAAGTATTCGTAAAACTGTAATGGTGAGCTGGAAACATATTTAAATGCTTCTAGGGAGTAATTTTTGTTGTGGGAAATAAATACAGGAATGTAACAGCGTTCAAATAAAAAACAAATTTTCACGTATCTATTAATTCCATTAATTTTAGCGATGATGTAACCGAAACTGAGGTACCAGAGTGTTTGTTAACTTGCATATAACGTTATAATTTAGCCTGTACGTTTTTTTTGTTAATTGTTCTTCTATTCTCTATTTAAACCGGCGAGGTTCTATAAGTATGTAGTGAACAATTTGCACACATTGTAAATAAAGCAAATAAATGTAATTAACATTCTATTTTTGTAATTGAATTCTATTTAAAAAGGAACAGTGATGTAAGAATAAAAAACGAGTTTCGAATATTCTCGTGAAACCAAAAGGTTTTACGTGCACATTGATTGAAATAATGACTGGTTTCGGATCTTATATTAGCGAATCGACTAATAAACGCTCGGAGATGCCTCTCCATTATTTAATTCGTGCAGGTGTGTCTGTTATTTACGGATCAAGAGCAATGTTCCATTGATTTTTTATGGCCAAATTAAAAAAAACGAATTAATGAAGTTTAAGAAAAAAATTAATGTACCCACGCGATAAAAATTTCTTTATAAACGATGAGAAATTTTTTTGCTTAAATGTTAGTTACAAGAGATTTACTGTTAGAATAAAACTAACACAAACAACTTATTATTAAATGTCGTTGATCTTGTATTTATCCTATATTTTATTTACCATTTACAATAAGTCTAAAGTAAATATTTAAAATATATAATGTACACGCCAGGTTAGTTTATTGTATTACTGATCATTGCGGTTTTGTGGTACTTTTATCGTATGATAGTCTTATCGCATGCACCTTTTCCTTTATCGTTTTATTCTTCGTTTTGTATCGTTGTAGCGTTTCGATTTCAAATCCACTAATAAAACGTTTTCAGTCGATAGGATATAGAAGAAAATGGAGACGGCACAAGTCGAGCAGGCTCCTCCGCACACCAACGGAATATCGGACATCGAAGACGACGAACGGGCGAAAATGCGACCGGTCGACATCGACGCCGACGTGCGGGAAATGGAGCGCCGGAAGCGCGTCGAGATGATCATGAACAGCAAACTGTTCCGCGAGGAACTCGAGAGAATCATCGAATCGCAATTGAAAGACGGCTCCGGCCCCAGCGGTCTCTTGCAACAAATCTCCGATATGGTGGGCGTGAATCGGCAGGGCGGCAACGTCTTCAAGAGCTCGAGCTGTGTTATACCCGTAAATGATATTAGAGGGATCGAAGCGATGGGTTATGCTAAGGGCGAAAAAATTCTAAGGTGCAAACTCGCCTGTTTGTATAGATTAATCGATCTGTACGGTTGGGCTTATGGTTCGACTACGTTAATTACTGCCAGGTAAATAAACGGTAGTAGAGACGCGAGGATTGTTTTAAGTATCTCCATATTTTCGCAGATTGAATCAAGACGACGAACAGTTCTTGGTTAACCCGTACGGTATGCTTTTCCACGAAGTCACCGCTTCGAGTTTGATCAAAGTGGACATGCAGGGTGGCGTCATAGAACAAGGCACGACGAATTTTTCGGTTAACATCACGGCGTTTTCTCTACACGCCGCCGTGCATTCGGCTCGTCCCGATATCAAATGCATCGTACACGTTCACACGCCCGCCGTCATCGCCATTTCCTCGCTCAAACAAGGACTCATGCCGTTGAGTCAGGAATCGGCCGTCGTCGGTAAATACAATCTCGCCCAAAAGAATTACCCCAAGGTTTTACTAACGTTTCTCCGTTTTTTCCCAGGCGACATCAGCGCTCATCTCTACTCGGGCGGCCACTTGAACGCCGAAGAACGCGACAAGCTGGCCCGTAACTTGGGACCCATCAATAAAGTCCTCCTGCTTACCAATCAGGGCGCGCTGTGTTGCGGGGAGACCATCGAAGAAGCCTTTTACAACGCCAGGAATATCGTTTTGGCGTCGGAAATCCAACTCAAACTCATGCCGTTGGGCGTCGATAATTTAGGTAAGGTTATTTGTACAGTGTGTCCCGTGACTCGTCTCTGTTTTGCGGTGTATAAACTGTTTGTATGTTCTCAAAGGTAGCTGTTTAGAGGAGTTAGGTCTGGCGATATCGTAGCCCAGGAAACTGGACCTCCTCTTCCACTAGTACAACAATTTGTAGTTGCAATTGCCCCATAATTCCTTAAGTGTTGACTTTTGGACCGAAGTGTATTTCCATCAAGCCACGGGACGCCCTGTAGAACTAATAAAAATGTACTGTACATTAACCCTTGCGGTAATCGTGCACGTTTTGGTATTCATTTGCGCGACAATATTCCCCGTTGCACGCGATCCGTTCGGTTTTATAACGTCGTAAATTTGTCGATTTCCAGTGTTGATTAGCGACGAAGCGCGAAAGACGATGTACGATCAGGCCCATAAGGCGCCGGAGAGCACGCCCCGGCCCGATCAGCCCTCCGTGCTGGAAGGAAAGGTGGAGAGAAAGTGGCGCGTCGGCGGCGTGGAATTCGAAGCGCTGATGAGGATGTTGGACAACGCCGGTTTCAGGACCGGCTACATCTACAGGCATCCGTTGGTGAAAGGCGAGCCGCCGAGACCGAAGAACGACGTGGAAGTGCCGCCGGCCGTATCGTCTTTGGGTTATTTGCTGGAGGAGGAAGAGCTGTACAGACAAGGGTGGGTAGATTTTTTTTTTATTGGTATTGGGATATGATGTGATTTTAATTGTTTGCGTTTTGATGCAGGCTCTGGAGGAAATTGGAGGGCGGTAAGAAAGGAAGCGATCGCAGTCGGTGGTTGAATTCGCCTAATACCTATCAGAAGGTGGAGATTTTGGAAACCGGTACTTCGGATCCCAAGAAAATTACTAAGGTAGAGTTCATTAAATTCGAAAATTAATACTAGCAATTTGTGTGTAGGAATTATTGTATAGTTTAGTTTTATTCAAAGTCGTCATTTTAATTAGGTATGTTTCTAGGAAAACTACAGAATCTTTGAAAATAAAAAAAATCCTTCAGTACTCGTAAACTTTGTAGGTACATGAATCAGCTTTTTTTCAACTTTGTACTAATACAATTTATATATGACCTTTGAAAAACTATACTATCTTATGTTAAGCACTAGAAAACTAATATTTGTGTGGCAATTTTATCTGTTAGACGTAGCTTAGCAATTAGAATTAAGGCTACAATTTCCTTTTGTCTGATATTGGAATACATTACAATCTAGTCAAGAGCGCTCTACAACATGTTTGTAAAATTTAACAATTTTATTGAGATTCACCTTTAAAAGTTTGTTTTTAACCATTTTTATTTTTATTCTGTTATTACTCAGTGTGGTGATATTTGATAAAATATTACTCACATATCTTAATCACAACTAATTATTTCACTCGCAATCGTATAATATTATGTTGGTCTAAAATTTTATATACAATTCTTTACTTTTATATGATTTAACAAATGTAGTAAACTCTCTATAAGGAGATATTTGTAGAATATTAATGGGCCTAAAAGAATCATCTTTTGAATGTAAATTAACCAAACATTCTTATATTTACGACAGTTTTGTTGAAAACATTCCACTGTTACTATTCTGTGAAACTTGAAATATTAATTCCATTGAATCAGTGTATTCTATTTTTTCGATAAAAACATGTGTAATACTTTACAACTATATTTTATAATTTTTATAATATTTTTATCTATTGGAATTAGTTATTTTGATCAAAATATTTTATCTTAGATTTAATTTATCGACAATTTTTTTGCGATCAAAATGTCTGCTGTTGCCATTTTTATTTTATTATTTTATGTACAAGTTTATTTACATTTATAGCTTTTAGCTATCGGATTTGTTATTGCTTGATGCAATATTTGTTAAAATAAATATATATCTATTTAGAATACTGTATTCTTATAACCTTTAATACCTCTGATTGTTTTATACCTAATAATAATTGATAATATTGTGAAAAAAATTATTATTTATTGCCATGTAATAATTTTCTCGATTTTCCTTGTTTAGTGTGCCAAGATACGGTATTTGTCAAATAGTAATGTGTCCTTAAGCAAGTTTTCTGCAGATTTCTGCTAATTAACTGAAATTGCGAGTTAATTTAGCATTCGAAGAATCGAACACACGCTCCTATTCAGCTTGATTTACAGACAAAATCAGCACATTGAAGGTCTTACTCTTACTTTGACAATGCTCATCATTTTGGCACACAGAATACTACAATTTTAATTTACAATCTAATGAAAATACAAACATCTAATGTGCTGGTTTTGTCTTTCAGTGGGTAGCAGAGGGATCGCCTAATCATTCGTCGAGTACCCCGGTTAAAATCGACGCCGCCCTTCAGTTCGTACCCAAAGGAACCAACCCGAAGGAATTTAAACAGAAACAACAACAGGTCAGTACTATTATTTATAATCAATCATTTGAATTTTGCATTTTTCACTATAACTAAAAGAATTGCTCATTCTGGGAGCTCTTAAATATAGTGTTCTAAACGGTTCTAAATGATTCTAGAGGGTTCTAAATAGTCTCGACAGTTCAAAATGAATGTGTAGCGTTCTAAATTGTTCTAAACAGTTCCAAATGATTCTGGATCGTTCCAAATAGTGCTAGACAGTTCTAAATGCTTCTAAACAGTTCCAAATGATTCTGGAGCGTTCTAAGTGGTTCTAAATCTTGCCACTGTTTAGTGCATATTTTCAATGCTCTATATATAACGAATAGACTATATTAACGAATGAATCTTTATCTTTTCCATCGAAAGATCAAAGACTACAGACGAGCGGATAAGATATCCGCCGGGCCTCAATCGCACATACTCGAAGGCGTTACGTGGGAGGAAGCGAAGAAAATGCAAGATGCTACCGTGACCCAGACCGGCGATCACGTGGTGCTGATGGGAGCCGCCTCGAAGGGCATCATTCAACGAGGTCACCAGCACAACGCCACTGTATACAAATCGCCGTACGCCAAAAATCCCTTCGACAGCGTCACCGACGAGGAGATCAACGAATACAAAAAGGTCGTGGAGAAGAAAACTAAAGGCGAATGTAAGTTTTTCGTTTTGATCCTCTGTATGATTTCCGAGTATTTTGTTGTTTGATTGATTCTATTTGGCGAAAAATTTCAGACGATACCGATTATAGCGAATCGGAAGGACTTTCATCGGCAGCTATCAATAAAATGAACATTAGATCGCCGACTTCTGTAACCAGCGAAACCGAGGAGGAAAGCCATGACGGTGAGATCGATTATACAACATGAATCTGTATAATATTTATTTACGACGTTATAATTTTTTCAGAACCACAAATTTTAAGGATAGAAACGAAAACGGTACCTAGAGCTAGTCAACCAGAAGTCGTAATGAGCGATGGTAAGAGTTGTGAGAATTATTATTTGTTTGATACAAGTGTAATAATTATGCATCGTTGCACTGGGTGCAGTAATTTTATTTTATCATTTATGTATATGTTACAGATAACGCTAGGTAAACGACTAAACCTAGGTTTACTGAGTTTCTTGGGTAACAGTTAGAAACCTAGTCATTTATCTAGCTTAATCCGTAACTTATACACTACTAACATTGTGTATACTATACAGACTATTTAAATCTGAATCATGAGAACAATTCAGATTTGAGCATGTATGTGATAAAAGAAAACTACAGCACCCTGTGTACATATTCATCAATTGTTGCACCCTTTTCGCGCCATCTCTCCTCCATTTCTTCCATCTCGAGGATTTTTTTTAGACCCGTGGTCGTCGTTACACGTTAAATTCATTGAGAAATAAAAGCATCAATATTTATTTCAGGCGACAAGCACCGAAATCGTCAGCCGTATAGAACTAATAGTCACGCGGGTCATCTGAAAGGTTCATATTTAGATCCGAATCCCGTTCATTTTCACGTCGTTAGAAATAACGAGATCGCCATTAAGCATCCCGCATTTGACCGGAGCGCGCGCTTTTGCCCGAACCGATCCTACTCGACCGGACCGTTTAGAATAAACATTCACAACGCGAAATCCATATCGGTGAACATACCGACTAGTACGATAAAAGAATTCATCCTACCTTTCGCAACGGCTTTAAATTTCTCGAGCGCCACCAGCAACAAGGAGTCTCAGACAAGCTATCGAATCGGCCACGCTCCCCTGTACATACAACGTCGCGGCGTGAATTTGAGCCGATCGAATTCGTTCGAAAGGAAGATCCTCGACCAGCTCAAGCAGAATATATTCGACGAGCTGTCGTCGAGTTCGGAGTCGGAAACGTTCGAGATAATATCGAGCGATTACGACGACGACATCGCGCATTTCGATGAGAGTTTTCATCTGAAGAGGAACGAAGGACGCTTCGAACTCACTCCGGATATTTTAGCTATGCTTCCGAGCAACGGTTCGAACAGTTCGACGGAAGCCGAGGATGATGATGATGATGAACGAGCCGATTTGGTTAAAGGATTCGTGGGTAAATTGCGGGAGTTTACCGACGCCAATTTCGAAATTTTACACGAAGCTAAGGATATATTAGGGAAAATACCGGACGCTTTGTCTAAAAGTTTAGACGAAGGTATCGAAGATTGTGCAACGCTCGTAGAAGACGAAACTGTCGGTATCATCGACGATAACGCCAAGCAACTGGCCGATTTAATCTTAGATTATCTATCGGAGCAATGTTTGGAAGTTAGGGAAATCATCCTGTGTCCTGAAATACTGCACGACCAAAATTTGGGCAAACTCCTGGCGAAATCGAAGGAGTTGTACGAAAAGCACTTCGAGCACTCGCTCACCGCCGAAGGCAAGAACGATTTGAGAGTATCGCTGGCCAAGTACGTGCTAAAGAAGCTGGAAACGCACGATAAAATCAACACCTCAGACGATTCGACAAGTTCCGGCACGGTCTCCGATAAATTATTCACCGTATCCGAATTTTTAAACGACATTCTCGACAAACTGTTCGACACGCTGGACGATAAAAAGCGAGCGGAACGGAATAAAACGTTCGAAGTGACTTCGTTCCACCAGAAAACCCTAACCGAATGCGGCTCTGAGTTGTTCTGGATATCCGTAACGAATTCGCCGAATTGTAAAAAACCCGTTAGCATAAACGAGTGCGAATCTACCGATTGTCGCCTATCGACCGCCGCGGAAGAGGCCTCTAACTTGTCTGGTAATGCAGACGAAAAAACGGAGAGTTTAAGCGTGTCTTGCACCTCGGAGGGATCCGAAGGTAGTTCCAGTTTGTTCGATAACGATATTAATTATCTCGCCGAAGATTCCGTCGAGGACGTTCAAGCGAATACTCTATCGGACGCGACCGGCGTGTTCCTGAATAAACTATCTGGTTCGAAGGAGGTTATTATGAAGAACCAAGTGAATTTTTTTCGTACGCAAAACTCGGATTCGTACGGGTTCAAGTCGGAAAACGTGGCCGTTTTGACGGCCGATCGCGAGAATAAAGAGAACGAAAGGTTGGATGATTCCGGCGATTGGATGGGTTTCGAAGAGGCTAAATTTTGAAAGTCGTTGGTTCACTTCTCAATTTTTTTTGTAGGCTTATTTGATTACTTGTGTTTTGTGAAATTTTTAATAAAAAACGTATTTAAAGGACGATTTTATTATAGATGATTCGCTTTGTGTTCGCTGCTTTTGCTTCTTGTTTTGTTTTAGCTCGATATTTCATGTCAACTCTCTCTCTCTCTCTTAAACGCTTGTAGATTTTTCTCTGTAGTTTATCCCGGTAGTTTTCAGTTAAAATTAAAACATTTCAGCATAAATTTCCGATCACTGGGTAGCTATTTAAAATGCTACGAGTGATTTTACTTTGAAGAAACAATTTTCTTTAATCTCCAGTTCAAGCTCGTGTAGTGTTGAATTCATTAGGCGCCTCCAAATTCCCGAAAAATTCAAAATCCTTTATCCTTTTAAGGATAAATTATTGCATAAAGGTACTCTCTAAAGATTTTAATAGCACATCGTAAACGATTAATATACAGTGCTGGCCGAAAGTCAATTCTCGTCCATGGAGGGTGGCTTTCAGCTCGCACTGTATATCCTTTAATAACAAATATATAAACATATTTATTTTGTAGGCGAGAACACAGTGAATGGTGACCAATCGGACGCTCACATGAGCACACTCTCTCAAAGCAGTAAAGAGGTATAATAAATAACTTCTAAACTTCTTTGTAGTTAATTAATTGTAATAAAATTGTTGCAGGATCACTCGATATCTGAGGAGTCGCCGAAGAAGGACAAGAAAAAGAAAAAGGGCCTGAGAACGCCGTCGTTCCTCAAGAAGAAGAAAGAGAAGAAAATCCGCGAGGCTTAGGTGTGCGACATTATCCTCGTCGTTTGAATAAAAATCGAATTAAAACGTGCATATTTTTTTCCAGAAAACCCTTCCGAACATAAATAAAAATAAAAAAAATCACCATGCCTCCTTCGAGACTGCCAGCAATTGAAATTAGTTTAGATGTCCCAGGTGCGGCTAAGACTTTTGCACTACCTGTGAAATTTTAAACTGCCTTTTTTTGTCATCAAATACTATAACAATACAATTAGCTTTAACTGTACAGTATGATTCGAAGAAATGTTTTATCAATATTTAATTATTAACCTTCAAAGTGCGACGTTCTAGTGGTTTTTAGATTCTACATGTAAACGAGACGTGTTTTATGAAAAATTAAGGATTTAAGTAAAAGTGTACAGCTAACATCACTTTCGAAACGTTTCCTTTGTTATGTTTACTTTATTATATATACATACAAGAAAAATGCTATATTGTGTAAATTTTCTAGCTTTATTTTTTCGACTATTTGTTTTGTTATTAACACGTATTCAGAAATGTGAAAGTTTATTATTACATATATTATAATTTTAAGTTTCTATTACTATTTTTAACGCTTTAGGAAACTTTTGGAGATTGTCTTCTATTTGCTTACGAGAGGTAACTACAACCAACCCGTTCATCAAATTATACCACATAATATATTTTTAGGAATATCGGTGCAATTTTGAATAATTATAAATTATTTATTTTTTATACTTGATTGTAATCCCTCGAGTTGTTTTTCCAATTTTTCATCAAGCTATTCAAATTTAATGATTTTATTGGGAAAACAACGTTGGATCTATATACTAATGTTCTTTAGTTTAGAAGATACCATCCATAAATTAATAATATAGCTAGGAAAATATATTTGATTGTATATAAACGATTAGGTACCTTCTCGACTGGCTTATTTAAACTTCTGTTGCACAAACTGCTGTTTTTATATTATAGAGTTTTTGTCGCAATATTTGATAAATAAATAGCTTATCTTGATAATTTTTTTATTTATTTTATTAAAAAAATCGAAACATTTTCCCCAAAAAACGAAATTCTGCATATCCCCTGTAAAGTTTCTAGAATTAGTAATTTAAAAGTTTAATAAATCAAAATCTATTTAAAGCTTGTTTAGTCCCCTGTTTGCCCCCTTTAACCAGTGTATTAGCAATTAAATGTGATACCATCATAATAGAGTAGATTTAAATTGAAGATTGTAAAGTTTATGCAATTCAATAATGGTCTCGGCTCGAGCAATTTAATATATTGCTGTTTGGACGTTATTTGTATCAATATTTTTGTTATCGATGAATCGACGGACAAACTGGCAGAGAAAGGTTGAACATTAGTGTTTTAATTTCTTCCTAAGTTGAATATTGGAGAAAATGGTAGTTAAAATAAGCGACGAAACACCGGCTAAGCTCGACACGTATTACTTAAAAATCATTTACTCCGTGGGAAAACTGTGTTTAGCGTTTCCTTGGGTGCTGGAAAGGAGTAATATTTGCTCAATTATCCAAGATTTGTTTATATTAGTGTTGATAATATGGGGTTTAGTAGAATCAAGAGATGTATTTGTAAGCCATAAGGACTTATCCACTCAAGCTATCACTTTATTGATACTGTTTCAACACATTCTTTTCAATATGTCGATTTTACACGGATATTTCAGATGTCCCCAATGGAAAGAGTTGTTTCAACACTTGCACAAGTCGCCAAAGCCTTTCCAAAAACTAAAAATTATGAAAATATTACTCAACATTCTATTCATCGTATCGATAATTACATCGTCTAGAATAATCTTTGAGCATCATTTTCTCATTGTGAGCGTTTACTCGATTTTGACGCAAATTCAATTGACGGTGATCGTGGCTTTCGCGACGGAAATCGTCGATATCATCGGATCGCGACAAAATTTCCTGCACGGGGAAATTCGAAACCTGCGATCCTGCGACAGGCGAAGGATATTCGAAAATATAAATGCCATCAAATACGTGTATCGAGATATGTTCTACATGGTTCAGGAAATGAACGTGATATTTGGTGTATGGTTTTGGTGCCTCTTGGTATTAAGTTTTTCCGGTTATATCGCCATCTTTAATATGCTACTCAACGCTTTCCTTAGGAAATCCCATAATATAAGAATTGATAATTTTTACTACGTGCTTGTATATTCTGTAAGTGTTGTTTCTTTTTAATTTAATTTTACTGGGCGTATCACGACGATAGCCCCTTAAAGATCTCAGGAATTAAATGCTTCAATTTAAACCCATACACGGGTATCCAAAATTTTATCGAAAATGAACAATTATTTTGAAACTGGGTATAAAGTCCTGATACGCTTTGTATATTTGCAATTAGTAGTAAGTATATTTATTGATTTTGAAGAAACCCTCTAATTGTTAAATATTGACACTATTTTAATTCTAAATAGCTAGTAAAGCAAAGCCAGAATGCAAACAAAAATTGAAAAAAAAATAATGTACATACGACGAATGTTTTAATAATATTACTGGTTTGACATGTTCATTTCATTGGTATTCGTCACAGGTATATGAATAAATACAAACGGGCATTTAAGCTAAATAAAATTTCTGAACACTTGCATTAATAGTAACTGCAAGTACCTGTAGAGTAATGAAAGATGGAAGTCAAAAAAATTGATAAAAAACCGGTGAAAATGGATACTTACTTTTTTAAAATTATACACCGTTGGAAAATTTTTCGCGCATAATAGGAAAATCAATGTTAAATTCTTAGCCGGCTGAAATACAGTCTACCAGTGTACATTTAAATAGAACGTCGCGGTAAATTCTAATAAATTTAATTGTTCTACTGGACTTCGCACCGCGCTTTGGCTTGGTTAGATTAAAAATCAAATAATTTCGACGGTTTCGACACTTCGACAGTATCAAAACGGGTTCGGATGGGTGAACGTCGAGTCGATTAAAAAGAAATGAGAATTTTTAAACGATAATTTATTGAAAAAATATCACTAATAATAAAATATAATTATGTAGATATGTCTTTTTGCCACAATGGCTTGAAAAAGAAAGTAAATTCTAAGAAAATAATAAAAAGAAAACTCCAAAAATAAACTTAAAGATTACTTTAAAACAGAAAATAAAAGAACTCTAAAAAATAGTCCACCGCTTTCTGCTAAACTATAGGCAAACCTGTCATACAGATGTCATCTCATATTACTGAGCTGAGGTGTAATTTTAGCAGAAAATTGAATTATTTTTTCCTTAATTTTCCTTATTTTAACAAGATTTGTTGCTATTTCATAACTGTACCTACCGATACACACATTTTTTTGAAATAACCCCAAAAAACCTATTAATTGTAGTTTCTAAATAATTTTGTACCTCATACCTAACACAAATAACTTTGTACCTCTACAAATCGCGGCGTGCGATCCAGTAGAACAATTAAATTTATTAGAATTCATCGCGACGTTCTATTGAAATGTATACTGGTAGACTGGATTTTAGCCGGCTAAGAATTTAACATTGATTTCCCTATTATGCGAAATTTAATTTCCAACAGTGTATACACACCATGGGAAAGGTGTTTTTAATTGTTCCATGGGCAGTGGAAAATCAAAATATTTGGATGATGATTGAGGAATTACTCCTCACTGGCCTAATAATATTGGGTGTTCGACATTTAAGTGTTTTCGCAACCAAATTCATCAAAATTAAAATTTTCAGTTGCCTATTGATATTTCAAATGTTATTTTTTTCTCTATCTCTAATGTATGGTTTCTTGACCAAAGCTTCGGAGTGGAAGGCTATTCTAGAACTTTTGCACAAATCATCTAAACCTCTGGCAAAGATAACAATCTGGAAAATATTTAAATATTTTATATTTGCAACTCTAATTTTAATTCCACAAGCAGTGTTCATTTCATATACGATCCATGGCAACATACCATTAATTAATTGTCTTTACGTGATGTATGAATTGCTAACGAATTTCCAACTAACAATATCAGTAGCATTAGTTTCGGAAATTATGGACATCTTCATATGGAGGCTAAATTTCTTGTTTATCCAAGTGGAAAACTTAAAGTTATATGACAGGCGACTCGTTATTGAACATATCAGATCCATCAAATATTCCTATCGTGACATGTTTTACATAATGAAGCATATCAACTCGATATTTGGCATATATTTTTGGTGCTTACTGGTAATAACATTCTGCGAATATATAATCGATTTCAATTCTTTAATAACTTGTGTTATCCAAATGAAATCCGATGATCGTGAGAAAGTACTTTATTATTTCATGCTGCATTATTCCGTAAGTTTGAATTTTTATTTACAATAGATTTTTGACCGATTTGGTATACTATATTATTGTTGGGTATTTATTCCGTAACATAAATGTAATGTGGGTGTATATAGGTATAAAAGACATGAATTATTTAATTGCAGAGAATTTATACTACATATGTCGATTAATTTATTCAGTAGTATTGTTTTTCTGGGTATATCTTTGGGTAAAAAGTTCTGATACGCCCTTGTATATTTGCAATTAACAGTAAGTATGTTTACTGAATGGAAGAGAAAACATTCAACCACTAAATGTGAAATTTCAAATAGACATCAATTTAATTTAAAATACTTATAGCTAGTAAATAAACAGAATGCAAATAGAAATTAAAAAAATGAAAAACCATTCGATGAATGTTTTAATGCTATTACTATTTCGACATGTTTATTTCGTTGCTATATTCATTACTTATGTAGGTAGATGAATAAACTCAAATGGGTATATAAGTAAATTAAAGTTTCTGAACACTTGCATTATAGTAACTGCGAGAATCTGTAGTAAAAGAAGATGGAAGTTAAAAATATTTATAAAAAACCGATGAAAACGGATACCTATTTTTTTAAAACTTTATACACCATGGGAAAGGTGTTTTTAATTATTCCATGGACATTGGAAAATCAAAATATTTGGTTGATCATTGAGGAATTACTTGTCACTGGTCTAATAATATTGGGTGTTTGGCCTCTTTTTGATTTCTTAGTGAAGTATTTGAATGGAAAATTGTTCATTTGGCTAGCAATTATTCAATTATGTATCTTTTCTGTATCTATAATATACAATTTCTTGATTAAACCTTCGGAATGGAAATCTCTTCTGGAACTTTCGCACCAGTCATCTAAGCCTCTGCCAAAAATAACAATATGGAAAATATTTACTTATTGTATCTTTGCAATTCTATTTTCATTGTCATTTATATGGTTTATTGTAACTGCAATCGGCCATGATGGAAAGCCAATATTTTATTTTTTTCTATTCTATTTGGTGATAACACATTGCCAACTAATAATATTAGTAGCTTTAGTTTCGGAAATTATGGACATCTTCATATGGAGGCAAAATGTCTTGTTTATCCAAGTGGAAAACTTAAAGTTATATGACAGGACACTCGTTATTGAACATATCAGATCCATCAAATATTCCTATCGTGACATGTTTTACATAATGAAGCATATTAACTCGATATTTGGCATATGGTTTTGGTGCTTACTGGTATTAACATTCTGCGAATATATAATCCAGTTCGATATGCAATTAAGTTCTGTTTTCGAAAAGAAATCAATAGAAGACCGTTATTTTAAACGGTTTTATGCCATGCTGCAGTATTCTGTAAGTTTGAATTTTTAAATAGTTTTAACAAATTATAACTATAACAAAAATTTGTTGCTGGAAAATTTTGTTGATGTAATTGATTTCAAATACTTTTATTAGTTTTAAATTATATAAATTAATTAACATCAAAATGCCAAAAACAATTTATGAATTAGTTAGGAAAAGTCGTTCAGAATATGTATATGTTATGGGTAAAGTTAGATAAACTTCTAAATCTACTCTTACCCTACCCATGTTTCTTGGGTATTTCGCAGTTTACCCGGTAAACCTAGGTTTAGTAGATGTTTATCTAGCTTTATCACTAACATATAAGTACTTACACTTATTGTTAG